GTTCCTTGCCAGCAAGGCAAGTTTAACATTTTTGGTTTAGCTCGTGGCTTGAAAACAGCAGGAGTGACCTTTATAGAACTTCACTATGCACTAACGACCCCTTCCCTCTCCGCCGAAAAGAAGAATGCATCTGAATTCAAGATTCACTGTTGTACTGCATACGGATCTAGATTCCATTTCTGACGCATCTAATATTGTCATCTAGAACCGCAAGTACACGTGCCATAACTGTTTCTTCGGCAAAGAATTCCTACTTTAAGACTTGCATTCTCAGATACATTTAGTAAGAGGAAACTATAACCGTCCGTCAAAGTTTACTGGTTGTTCGTGCAACGTACGTCCCAGGTTCGATCCTTGACTGACATGCTTGTCATCCTCAGTAATCTGTGAATTACATTAGTCCCTGAAGGCATATTCTAAGATAATACTTACGTCTTTCAAGAACAAAGTTTATCTAGATAATTGCTGTTGGGGAATATTAAATAATGCTATTCCTTATCATTAAGCTCAGAACAGATGACAGTCGCCTTCCGAACACTCCCTCACAACAACAAATCTCATCTGTCCATACGTATGTGTAACACGTGCAGCTGATACAGAATCGACAAGAACCATGAAGACCAGAAACAAACACCGGTCTGGTTTGTGGCATTCGTGTTCTCAGGTGGACTTGCATTCTCCCTCCAGCGACTCCACACCGACTGCACCCTCGTTCATTTCGGCTTGCAGTCGTTAGATGTTCCACCCTCGGGATAATTACAGGTAATTAAGACAGAACGTTGTTGATGTGGGAGGATAATTTAGAACTCGTGTTGTAAGGAACTATACTAACATTCGAACGAAACTGTGGGAGGCAGTTGGCTGCGCAGAAGCCAAGTTCTGTTACGTGATAACTTGGCCTTTGGTTGTCTTTCTAGTTATTTCCTCTCGCAACTTTCACACAGCTTCATGTTTTGGGTAGTCGAAACATCCTAAGTACCATAAAATTTTACATATGATTACACAGTCTACAAACTTAGTTCTTAATTTTCACTCAATCCAAGCGAAAGGTGGCCAAGTTGAAACGATATTCTCGTAACACACAAACACAGAAAAACTGTGTCCCTCCAGGCGAGAGAAATGAACACTAACACGCCGTCTCGTCTGAATCATAATACAGATCTCAGAATGGGTCTTAGAACTGAAGACGTTTTGTGGAAAAATTTACGTACATGTCATAGCTGTGCCTGAACATCTCATCATGGAGGCACATGGGTTGACTGATTCGTGATTTATCAACAGCCAGATACATGCATTCTCCGTAGTGTTAAATAGAAGGATGATTTGCAAATGATGAATTGGAAAGGGCGTGGAAGGAAACGGTATTTGCATAATTTAAGGTGTTATCAAAGCAAGAAAACTAAAAACTGATACGAAACGCGGATTTCCATATATGAAGCGGGACTGATAAAACTCGACATATTTCTTACACATCGCCAATGGATGCTGACGAATGGTCAGTTTCACGCTTCGGCCACTTTATTCCTTCCTTCAGTATGTATAGGATTTGAGGCTAGGACATCAAACAGCTTTCTTCCCAGTCGTTACATACAAAAGAGCAGTAGAAAGCTCTGCATTTTTTGAACAAACCAACCATCATCAGCTGCATTACATAAGCATGTGGGAAAAAAATGGGTTTGATGAACTGTTTTATTTCACTTGCAGGTGTTGCAAAAACGGAAGAAGATGTAAATCCGATTAACGCACACAACAGCTGATAAAGAGGTTCGCAACAATGGCTTTGTGGAAATGCAATTCGAATGTTCTGAGTCTGAATGAATACACCACTCGGTCGCTCGCATTCGACCCAGAGATGCCAGTCTATCTTCTTTCCGTGCGGTGCAGACATCCCTTATCCACTACTCGTAACCGGAAGT